AACAAAAAAATCTGGTCATTATGAAATGTGGAAATTTTTTTATTTGGCCAGCCTATTTCAATATTGAAAAAAACAAACAATGGGCAGTTTCAGTTGATTGCAGAACATGGTCAAATCAGACTTTCTATAGAATCAAGATCTTATCCAGACCCATGGCAAAGGGACCTGGCGCACCAAGCATTTTGTTTGAATAAAAGATACTCTGTACAAATGCAATTATAAAAAAACATGCAAAAAAAGTGTGGCATTTAAAAAAAATATTTAGGTTTAGTGTTTAGTAATGTGTATTTTTTAACTCTTTCTCTCTTAATCGATGATGCCAACGTTGATTTGACCTGCATTAAACTAAATGGATTTTTGTATTTATAAACTTTAATTTGTGTTGTTTAAAAAGAGCATGCATTCCCCTATAATTCGATACCAAATATAACATTTTCTGTTAACAAGCAAACAAATTTATTGAAGTTTAATCATAACAGGATAGTGAAATACAAATGAGCAAAATGAATAATACTATCGAACGAGGAAAATAATTATGGAGACAAAGAGTTAATGTTTTTCTTTAATTTAAAAGTCTTGCTTGTTCTGTTTGTCATACATATTTATATTTCAACTACTTATTTTTAATCTATAGCACTTTATATATAATCTATACTTTTGCATAAAGAAATTTTTTTAGCTCACATAATGTTTCTCTGTGTGTTTCAGATTATCAAATTATGTAAAGATCACCTTAATAAGAAAGTCAATCGTCTGTCCTCTAAACATTTAAAGAAGATACCAGTTCGAAAGTTTAAAAAAGGTAAAAGTTTTAGTTGCAGAGAATTACTCCTTGTTAGGAGGCGCGGTGGTTGAGCGGTAAAGCGCTTGGGTTCTGAACCGGGGACTCGGGTTCGAATCCTGTTGAAGACTGGGATTTTTAATTTCGGGATCTTCGGGCCCTTCTGAGTCCACCCAGCTCTAATGGGTACCTGACATTAGTTAGGGAAAAGTAAAGGCGGTTGGTCGTTGTGCTGGCCACATGACACCCTTGTTAACCGTAGGCCACAGAAACAGATGACTTTTACATCATCTGCCCTATACACTACAAGGTCTGAAAGGTGGAACTTTACTTTTTTTTTTTTTTTTTTTACTCCTTGTTGAATTACGGACACAGAGATTGGAGAAAAACATCTTGATAAAAGTATTTCAAGATGAACTCACCCACGTCTTTCTCTTTGCCTCCTAGTTCTATAAGGGGGCGCAGTGCTGAAGTGCCTGGCTTCCGAACCTGCTGTCTTGAATCTCTGTGAAGACTGGTGATTTTGAATTTCCTCATTTTTTAGTGCGCCCCAGAGTCCCCCCCAATCATAATGGGTACCTGACCTTGGGTGGGGACAGTAAAGACAGTTGGTCATTGTGCTTGCCACCTGACATCTTGCTTGTTAACCGCTGGCCAAAGAAACAGATGACCTTAACATTGTCTGTCCCATAGATGGCAAGGTCTGAAAGGGGAACTGTACTTTTTTTTTTACTTGGCCTAGTTAAATACAATGCTCTTGATCTTAACCAATCATCTTTCTATCCTTTGACTAGTTGATATCGTTTTATTAACCCAATAGCTCCTAGTTTTGGTTAGGAAAAACCCTTCCCAAGCCCTAAGCAAAGAGGGATAACCCCGAATTTAAAAAATCCTAAAAAAATATTTATTTTGAAAAAATAATCAAATTTTAGAATTAATACTAATAAATAAACAAACAACTTTAAAAAATAGAATGAATTGTTTAGTTTGAAAAAAATGTATACTTTTAATACCTTTTGAATATAAAAAAGCTTCAAAAATACTTATTTTATTCAGGTGGGGGCTTATACACTCAGACAATGGGCATGTTCATTTGAAAAATATTTAAGCAATAAAAATCTTGCTGATTTTACTAAAAGTGGAAATGGTAATCCCCACAATGATTTGTAATCACACTTGAAACGAGACTAGAAGAATTTAAACATTTTAAAGCAAGTATATTGAAAAGGGGATTTTAGAAACTTTTTACAACAGTTTAGGACAAAAACAAGAAAACTTTTCTGACTGCTGAAGGAGCTAATGGGTTAAAATCTTTGACAAACAAACCTCTTAAACAGTAGCAAGAAAAGTTCCAATGAGAAACAAACTCCATGTTCTGTTTTTTGTTTCATTTCATTGTGACTTGTGTTTCATTGCAGCCATATTTTAGTTATTGAATTCTGTGTCACATGATCTTTGTAGGATATAATCTTTGTTTCTGCAGGAGAGTACTATGATACTTGTGCCATCTGCCTGGATGAGTATGAAGAAGGGGAGAAAATCAGAGTCTTGCCCTGTGATCACGGTAGGGGAGAATAAACATTATTTTTGTCAAAAGTTTTACAAAATTGTATGCATGCTACTATTATCATTCGCAAATATTAATTTGATGATAATTTTGAAATGTCAAAAGCAGAGACATTTAAAAAAATAAACGTCTTGACAACTAAAACAAGAAAGAAAACTATTGTTCGGATTTTATTGGACAGCAACAAGCAGCCTGGATATGTTATTAGCTGAAAATCTGATTATCCCCCTAAGTTGTTCTGAAAAAAAAAGTATTTAATTAAAATGGATGAAATGATTTTTTAAATATGTTGCTAAAATGATTAGGATGCTATTTTATCAAATATTCCACACAAAATAAATTGATTCTGTTCCATAGTGTACCACACAAAATGTATTGACCCGTGGCTGACAAAGAACAAGAAGACATGCCCTGTGTGTAAGAGAAGGGTGATACCTGGCAGGGATGCCGATTCAGAAAGCTCAGACTCTGACGGTGGCGGCAGGGCACAGTCAACCGGATCGGAGAGTACCCCCCTGCTGCTTGGGCAAAGCACTCGTCCATATGCCTCACGTGGTCAGAGAAGATTCCCTCCAAGAAACGGACAAGGCACCAGTAGAGATGGCAATGAGAACATGCTGAACCCAGCCTCTGAAGGTGAGAGTTTTGGATTCTATAAGTAGATGTTAGCTGAACCTTTGAACTCTTTATCTTTAACAATTTTTCCACCTTCTGACTGAATTGTTCATTTTTCACATTTGTACATTCTACCCTGTTGTCATTAAACTTCAATAAATTTTTTTTTGTTATCAGAAAATGTTACTTTTAGTCTAGAGTTACATGAGACTGCTGGCTCTTTTTGTAGAATACAAATACAAGTTTATAAATCCAAAAATTAATTTAATGGGGTCAAATGAACGATGGTATTGTTAATTAGGAGAGAAAGAGTTCAGCTAAATATTTAAAAAAATATATAATTATTAATACTTTTAAGTGCATTTTAGGAAGACAACTCAAAAGACATTTTAATTTGTTGATCGTGCATAACCCTGCTTAAACATTAAACCATAAAAGTTTCAGGCAATTTAGCCAGTGTTTTTTTTTTTTGTTTTTTTTTTGAGATAGAATGAAAAAAAAAAGAATAATGAAAAATGTTCCTAGCTTTTTTGTATGATTAAAATTGATAAAGCGAAATTTTTTGAGTAGTTCTCTCATTTTGTGAGATACTAGGTTGGTACAAGTATATGGTTTAACTAATTTGGCATGCTGGGATAGGTATGGTCTAAAAAAAAGTAGACATGATGATTACAGATATGGTCTAATTAAGTAGGCATGTTTTGTGTTTTAATAATTTAACACTTTTCTAATAACTCAGACGCAAACATATTAAAAAAATATTTGTTTAAATGAAAAAGTTAAATGGTTTGAAGTCCCTTTGAAGGGTTGCAATTGAAAACTATGTAACACACTTCCTCAGTTTTTATACCTTAGCTCAAGCATCCAAACTGCTAAAACATTTTTTTTCAGGACTACAGGGAGTTTGTCCAAGAAAATTTTAATTGCTGAAAAATAAAATTACTCACATGGACAGAGAGGACATGTAAAAGGGGATTAAAAAAAAGAAAAAAAAAAATATTACTTGAAATTTCTGAAATAGAGTTGACACTTGGTAGTCTAACACGCCCTATATGCTAGGACAAATTTGTACAAATACTCCTTCTTCCCTAGTGCTATTAGAGCATGGAATGGGTTGCCTAAGCTAGCCAGGAAAACCAGTGACTTGGCAGAATTTAAGTCATTGGTTATGCATGACTAAATGCATGACGCGTAGGACGTAATCATCTTCTTTTTTTGAAGTAATGTCTGTATTATATAAGATAAGATAATCCAATACTCTCAGTAATCAGACATAAATTCATGGTTAGGAAATCAACAATTTTGTCAGGACTATTTAACTAAATATACATCTCTCTATGTTTCTGACAGGTAACCTAGTGGTTCCGAGTCTCTCAGAACCAGAAGACGACGATGGCGCTGTTGGTGGTTTAACCATTACTGACATGTATATTCAGGCTAGAGACGCTGCCCAGAAAAGGCGGGAGAGAAAGAGGAAACGAACAGAGAGGGAGAGGCTGATCGACAGGGAGGATGCTGGTGATGGGAGTGAACCAATGGCTCCAGGGCTCGTCAAGTTTGGTGAAAGTGCATCTGGCTCTGTAGTGAATGAAACGAGAGAAGAGCGTCGCGACAGAAGGCGCAAGAGAAAAGAGCAGAAGAAAGCTAGCAAGAGATCCAACACCCAGTCTGATGCTCCCATTGCAGGGGAAAGCAGCAGTGCCGGTAATGTGAGGCGCAGCGAGGAGAATGGCTCACGTTTAGGGGATGACACCAATGAAGTGGTTGTACAAGTGGCAGAGAGATCCGAGCTGAAACCTCCATCTGACAGACAGGAGCCTAGGGCCCTTCCTCTGAGGGGCAGGCATCATGAACTAAATGAAGTTGTTTAATGTGCCATTGGATAGATTGACCTCTTCATACCAGAATGGTAGTTGGTGCGTTCCATCTAGATGTCCAGTGACACACCTGATACTGATAACCATCTTATCCTGTGTAGGTTTCTCAAAGTAAGCCTGAACTACAGGGTCATCAACAAAATATGTGAGAAATCAGACATTTTTTTTTTTTTGCATGTTCACTTAGTATTATCACTATAATTCCATCAAAGTCATATGACAATGTAGTCAGCTTATCTCATCACTTAGTAGATCAGTTATCTTGTATCATTTTTTAAAATTCTGCATGGCGCTTAAAACATCTTGTCAGCGGGCGAATGGGGAAACATTGGTTTTTAATGTGTACAAATATTGTTATCTAATCCATGTTTTTCTAGTTTTGTATTGAATAATTATAACATTATATTAGTGGGGCTTTTTTTATACTGTCTTTTTTTTTTTTATGATTGATTTCATTTTTAAATGGAAAACTCTTAACACAATGATGCATTTGATTTGTAAAACTGTGACACTTGGATCTAAAAGTTGACATTTATTTAAGCGGGAGTAGTCAAGAAATATAAACAATTTGTAATTTCTTGTAGTTTTCGTATATAAATTTATGAACTTAAAAAAAATAAATAAATTCTGTTCAATTGATGGAAATGTGAAATTCAAAGAAGTTTGAAAATTAAAACTAGTTGACTGGCATTGCGTCAAATGAAATATCAGCTGTACAACCTGGTAGATTAAGTGACAGCTGTACAACCTGGTAGATTAAGTGACGTGATGCAGCTCTCCCAATCTCCAACTGAAACTCTGGTAGGAACCAATATTTGGATGGACTAGTTTGGACACACAGGGGGGGGGAATTTTTTTTTTGTTTTGTTTTCGATGTTTTTGTTTTTAGTCTTCCTCTGGAACCTGCGGCTCCGTCAGTTGTGATCAGTCCCCCCCCCCCCTCTCTCCCTTCCCTCGACTGTGACCAACTTTTTAATGCCGCAACATTGTTAATGGACAGGATTTGTTTTTAACGTGTCTTATTGGCTGCTAACAAAATGTCAAACAGAAAAATCTTCTCTTTCCTTGTTTTACAAGTTTCTATTGATTGGACTTCATTCACCAATCCTAAACACCCTTTAAGTCACATGCTTTCCCATGTTTTCTGTACAAGCATGGATAACACATGGCTGTATTTTCTGGTGTTTTATCATTGTCATCGTGTGACTTGTGATGAATGAGGTCCATTGAACATTGGTTCGCTAATGTTTCAGTGTTGTTTTTTTTTTTTTGTGTGCCAATTCAACTATCAAATTCAGTTAAATCAGGTAGATTTCTTTCATTTGAAATGTGACCTAAACCTTGTATCCACATCTCTCCCCTTCTAGTTCCATATTATTATTTCAATCCTGGTAGAACTAAGACTTTGTTGTTTACTTAAAATTTGTCTTCTTTTTGCTTGTGCACTGCACATAGTAGAATCTGCTGGTAAAGTATCAGTGTGGGCAGTTGATTTGTAAGTAGGTAAAGTTCCCCTTTTCAGACCTTGGGAACTACGGGGGCAGATAATGTAAAGGTTATATGTTTCTGCGGCCCATGGTTAACAAGCATAGTGACCAACAGCCTTTACTTTTCGCCAATTAATCTCAGGATTAGAGATAGGTAAACTCAGAAGCGCCCTAAAGGTCTTGAAATTAAAATCCAAGTCTTCATTAGGATTTGAACTTGGACGCCTTGCACTTGACCACTCACTGGCCTTCATAAACTTGTCAAATACCTTTTATCTCTTGGTATTGGTACCACTCACTGGGCTTCATTTTTAAACTTGTCAAATACCTTCTATCTCTTGGTGTTGGCGTTAGAAATGCCAAGTGTGTGACAAGTAGCCATGTGTATGTGACATCTAGCCATGTGTGAGTTTTTTTTGTAATTAATAAAAGTTGTGGCACTGATTTCATTTCAAGAGGGTAATTATCTTTTTGCTTGTCCCCTGGTCACTTTGATCTGTGTAGTTCCTGTGTGAGCGTGTGTTGACATCACTTGGTATAACTAATGTGCAGGATTTGATCACTGGGCTGTTCCTCTCTACACTTGTAATGATATTTTATTGTGTGATTCCTTAACTTTCATTTGACCCACTGTTGATGCACAATTCAATTGCCCATTTCTTTGGTGTATTATAGAAGAAATATGTTGTTTTTTTTTACCTGCACTATCTGATTACAAACAAACCAAAAGCTTCTATTGAAATTATTGTGAAGGAAAAGATCACTCTTGGCATTGGCTTGCAATATTCTCACCAAACTTTTCCTTTGACCTTTTATCAATATGTATAAGTGACAGTGTTAGCATAAACATTTGACTCTGTTTATCCAAACAAATTTTTTTCACTCAAATATTTACCTTAATGTCATGTGTCTCCTGAATACATTAAAAGAAGGTCTTTGTTTTAACAGCACAGAGCCTGGAGGAGCATGTTGGTTATTCCTATACTCTAACAGGGCCAAACTGTCATGGTGTGAATACAAATATTATCTTTCCTTTTATCAAATTGTATAAGGCTTGTCTTTGAATCCGAAGATTAATGAGGAATGCAGTATTTTGCATGGCTGCGTAGCCCCAGCTGAAACCTACATATTTTGCCACATCCAATGCAGACCTCCCGAGTGGTTGATTTATCATAGTGTGAATACAAATAACTTAGTAATCTTTTCTTTCATTACTTGTTACCATCTCTAAAGACTGGAAATCAATTTTTTTTTGTCAGACTTTGGTCCTGCATGTAATAACTAAGTTGAATTTGACTTCGTATCGTAGGCTGGAAGATGATTTGCACTTTGGGTATATACCTTAATCTTGTGAATAACAAATCTTTACCACAAGCTTTTCTTTGATAACATTGTCAAACAATTTAGGTAGTGACACATGATAATCAGGTTGGCTACATGATAATCAGGTTGGCTAGATAAAGGAATATACCATTGACTTAGAGAATATTTTGCCTTTAACTGAGTGCTTCATTTTTTTAAACTAATCTCTGTGTTGAAAGACATATATCTTAATGTTTTACTTGTAAAAATGTGTATCATAATTATTTTTAAAATATGTATCATCATTTTTAAAATATGTATCATAATTATTTTACAAGTGTGTGTTGATTCTGCATGATGGGATAGTGAAAGAGTGCTGTGCGTTCTATTTACAGTTTCCACTCCTTCTAATGTTCTGTTTGGATGATGAGATTAACAATGCACATTCTGATTGGCTGTTGTATTTGTGATTTACTTATTTCAGCCTATCTCAATTTTATTGCTCTGGCCCAAATACTTTTAAAGTAGTTGTACACACACTAGTATTTACATCAAATTTGTAACCTTTATTTTACGCAGTATAACTAAAATATATATAATTATAACATTTAATGTATTGCCAGATAGTCTTTGTTTGTTTTAAATGATAGATGTGAATGTAGCCAATACTGGTATGTGAATAATGTATTTTTAGAGATTGTTTCAACTTGAGGTTGTATATAAAACTTTTGCATTACAGTGTCAGACTTGTTCATAGAGAAATAAAATTTGTTTTCATTTCATTTTGTCTTTAATCTTAGGGACATTTCAATGTGTACCCTAAAACTGTAATTTACCAAAAGAACAATGTTAAGTAATTAGATAAGATAAATATGTTATACCGGTAATTGTATTATGGGGACAGTAAAATGTTTTGGATGTTCCTTCAGATTTGAAGATAGTTTACTTCCTAGTCCTAACCTCCCGCAGGACATCAGGCATGGCAGGGTATGAATCCTGGACCATTGAAAAGTTCGAACAATAGTCCAGGGCGCATATCGCACGACCAGGCAGCCATCCTATAGGGGAAATGGGGAAAAAATGAACATTTTGAACAAAATATGAACGGCAAACCTATGAACTATGGCAAGTTATTTACAATAGATAAGTAAAGTTTCCCTTTTAGACCTTGTGGTCTATATGGTAGATTTTATATGTCATCTGTTTCTGTGGCCTATGGTTAATGAAGGTGTCATGTGGCCATCACAATGACCAACCGCCTTTACTTTTCCCCAACTAATGTCAGGTACCCATTAGAGCTGGCTAGACTGAGGCGCCCTAAGATCCCAAAATTCAAAGTCTTCACCAGGATTCTAACCCGGGACCCTCGGTTTGGAAGCCAAGTGCTTTACCATGCAGCCACTGCACCTCCATTTACAATAGATGGATCAGCTTTACACTGGAAATGGAAGATTATGCTAAGTACCTGTATTGCTGAAAACTGTCTACCAAGACTTTCTACATAGTGAAAAGTGATACAAGATCAAAATGTATTGAAACTATTTATTCCATAACACCAAATTTAGCAAAAGTATGAACAAAAAGTAATTGTATATTGAGAAATATTGACATACTTAAAATAATAATAATTTTATCAATATAAGACATTCTGTCTCATCACAAGTTTACACTCGTTTAACAAATTGGCATTTATCCATAAAGATCTGACCCCAGGAAATACATACACACACAGAAATCACAATTAAGATGACTGTATTGGGTAAAAACAGTAATTTTAGTTTAGTTCAAATTAAAACCTAAATTGCAGCTAAAAAACAAAATGCGAGTTTTGTCATACATTTTCACTATTACTTATACAAATGTGACATAATGAGCAATTAATAACCAATATGTAATTAAGATCTGCTGACTATAGACCAACAAATGACTTGATTAATAGCTTTCATTGCATTAATTTGTTAAAGGTCAGAGATTATGTAGGAAGCTAGTTACCAAGCAGACTCCTAGTTTTGAATCAACACAAAACAAAAGAAATATTCCAGATATGTCTCACTTATTGTCCACAACACAACCTTATGGACATTCAAAGAATTATAATTTCCATTGTAAGACTTTCTCCCTGACCTAAATTTAGGCCTTTTTCATCAAACTTACGTGTTTACAAATAAAACAAAATTTTTAAAAGCATAATGATTAAAAATTATATAGAGAAAAAAACTTGTTTTCTTCAAAAACAATTAATACATTTATATCTAAAAAAAAAACTTTTCTTCTGTCCCTTGACAGTAAAATATCTTCCTTTTCTGACATCTGATACCGAGCATTTTTCTGTAGCATTTACTTTCGAAGGCTCAGATTTTTGAATTCTTCTTTCAGCCTCAGTGTTGGGTGTGGTCAGTGTCCAACGTTTACAACCGTGTATGAGTACAGAGACCACTAGTGAAGAATATACCTTTAATTTTACTTGGAAGCTGATTTTTCACAGTTTGCTCATGGCAGCGGATGCCAAGCTTAAAAAACATACAGCACATCAAGCGGATAACATTACCTATAGAAACTATAGAATGTTTACTTACAACAACCAAGTATCACACTTACTACAACGTATCATTTGGTTCTGCCATTGTGATCTAATAATATTTGTAATAAAATTGTAATGTACAATTTAAAGCCTATGACTAGCATTAGTTCCATCTACAATAGGTCAGATCAATCTGATAAATAAACTAGGAGAGAAAAATGTCCAACTATTAAAAGCCATTTAACAGACACCCATGTTTGGGTTAAAACATAGCTTAACATTTAACAACCCAATGTCCAAATGTTAAGCAAGTAAAAATATAATTTAAAAATAAAATGCTAATAAAGACAACTAGAAATGCAAAATATGAATAAACTTAACAGCAACATGTCAGCACTTGTTTGATAGTATAAAAATGTTGAATAAAAAAAAAAAAAAGATATTTAACAGAAAATAAAATTCTGTTAAAAAAAAAATGGTTAAGTACTTCAGAACTACAATTCAAAGGGAAGGTCTATGGTCAATGGTTTACAGCCTGTCATGTGGCCAGCACGGTGACTATGACCATCAATATTTTCTATCCCCCCACTTCAGGTCACGTGTCCATTAAAGTCAGCCGGTCTAAATATTTAGAACGAGCATCTAAGCAAACATCCCTATCACCATATGAAACAGACTTCTGTTTAACAGCCAAGTGCTTACAGAGGCCAGTACATCTTGAAGAAACCAGAATCTGTGCATCTATGTTATCTGATTTTGGACATATTATTAACGCTGAATTTTTCATGCTATATTTTCTTTCAGATACAAGAAGCTGTCTTTGCATGATCTTAAGACAGGTCATTTTACTTAAGCTTTCATGTTTTAATAGCCTGGAGGTCAGGTACTAGTAAAGAACAATTTTTGACAACGATGCTGGCTGTCATTTTTTTTAATGGCCAATTGGTGATAAGTTCTTAGGTCCAGGTCTTAGATAAGCAACAGAAATAGGAATAATAATTTTTTTTGTATGAAAGGGAAGACCAATTCTTTGCACACACATAAATTGGACCAGAGAGCTGATAATTATTTTTTGTCAGCATTACATGTACAAGTGATCAGATAAATAGACTGCTACAAAAAGTTAGCGCCAACTAAAAAGGATAACCTTTCTATATTACAGGGCCACTGCTTCAATTATTTGCTTTTATTGGTACTTTGAAAAAAAAAAAATTACAATTTATAAATATATATTTGTTCATGGTTCAATTATTCTTACACGAAAAAATCAAAACATGATTGTCCACTATTATAGGCCTACTTTATTATCTAGACTTTGCATTGGTCTACATAATGGTTTACATAACTAGCATGTCTTGAACAAACCATATCACAGTTCTAACTCATATTAAGAGTTAAATTTTTGAAATGATGGCAACAGTTACACAAGTAATAACCTACACACCAAATGTTTATCATTATGTTTCTAGCAGCTAGTATGTTGAAGATTAATCAAAAAGATTTTTTAGATCGACATCTTTTGTTTTCTTTATTTCCACCACGTAGCAGTCATTCTTTTTCTTTTGTTTCAACTGAAATAGGAAATATATTATAAACAAGACAGGCTATGGATACAATATTACTTTAAATATAAATCTATGTATAGTACTTACGCTTTCATGTTTTTAACAATAGCTTTTGAAATAGTTTTGAAACTGGCCAATATGCACAGCATCTATGCTATTCTGACACAGAGAAGACTACACTGGCTCAGACATGTCACCTGCATGCCAGATGGAAGAATCCCTAAAGACATCCTATACGCTGAGCTTGCAGAGGGAATCAGACCTCAAGGCTGCCCAAGACTGACCTACAGAGACGTCTGCAAGCGAGACATGAGAACCACAGGCATCAACCAAAGTATAAGGGAGGAGATAGCCCAGACTGAACAGCAAGGAGACAGACTGAACGTGCTGGTACAAACCTCGCCGAGAGCAAAAGAAACAAAGCTGCCTGTCAAGAGAAAGAAAAAGAAAGCTGCCCTGTCAGCTAGCCCTAAAGCAGTTCCTTATACATGCATGAAATGCGGCAAACTCTGCTGCTCCAGAATTGGTTTGATCAGTCACTCCAGATTCTGCACCGTCTCAAGACGAAACCTAAACCCGGGACTCATCTGGACGCATCGATTGTCTTCCGAGGCTGAAGAAGCCATATATATGTATATATTTATGTATATTAACATAAATGAAGATCACAACCTGTTTAAAGTAGTACTTACAATTTTTAAAGCTCCTGAGGCAAAAGGCTGTGAAACATTTTCCCTGACTAACTCGTCTTTCACCTTTAACTGAAAAATTCCTTGCTGTTGATCTCTGAAAACAAATCAAGTCAACCATTATTAAAAGATTACAAAACTAAAGAGGTCTACTTAGATCAATCTTAGAGAAGTTGTGACATTAACTTATGTCTTCAGAATGTATATGTCTGTCAGCTGCAGTTATTTAGTATAACTAGCATACTAAAAAAGTTTTTTTTGTCCCACATTTTTCTTGTCTGATACAACTTACTATCAAACTTCTCTCAATAAGTCTCAGACTGTGAAGAGTGATGTCTCCATCCTAAAATCATTATATTAGCCTATCAGAACTAATTGCTTTGTTTCCTATCTTTATGTGGTCACTGGATGGTTGCTGAGTTGCAGCTGAGTACCTAAAGGCAGCACGGAAAACCAACTCCTAGATACCCCCTCCCCCCCCCCCACTGGTCCACAAATGAGATTGGACCAAAAGCGCTCTGAGCATGCTATAAGCATGAAAGTAGCGCTATATAAAAGCTATAATTATTATAGTTGTATGTTCTTCGAACAGTCATTGTGATGGTCCTGAATTCAATTTTTGCTCAATGTCTTCTCCGTGGATTGTTTCTTTACACTATTTACACTAAATACTTTTATTAAATTCCTTCCCAGAAAGAAGCATCAAGTCTGGACTCTTAATTTCTTAAGAGAAACATAGATTCAATGGGAGAAGCTAATTATATACACATTGGAACTCTTTATTACACTTGATTTTCTTGCATTGGTATTTTTATATTTTTGTTCTAACTAGCATATTGTTTTCAGTTCCTTAATATTACCATGACTCTGCAGTTAATTGTAGGCTATTTGCACTAACACTGCAACTATAACATAGATCTGTAGATTTTGTAACAACACATAATGAAACTTTAGAGACAATTTATTTTTCTTGATACCACAAGCATATTCTTAAAATTCTATTCTAAC